TTACGCCCCTCGTACGTTCCGATTCCGCCCTTCAAACCCGCATGTAAATGGGGGATTACGTCCCTCCCATCTGTGGTTACGCCCCTCGTACGTCCCGATTACGCCCCTCAAACCCGCATGTAAATGGGGGATTACGTCCCTTTTAGCGCTTTGGCCATATACTACAGTATAGTATATTCCAAAGCGCGCGGACAGGATGCACAGCAACAAGGTGCACGCCACACACTTCTCCCAAGATGCGCACAAAACAACTGCCTGACATAAGCGTTGTAAAGGCGGCACGCTGCCAGAGCGCAAGAGGTTAGCATGGCTTCTTGCGGCCCGGAAAGTGAACCCTTTTCACTGATTCAAAACAGCTTCTGCGCCATGTCCCCTCATAGTATAATATACAGATATATATATATATATATATACGTATTATATATATATATGGTTGCATCCTCGTGGTGGTTACATCATGTGACATCCATATTTTTGCTGGGGGAAAAATATATAAACAAATTTCAAGCCTCGCCCCAGCTCCTCTTGCTGTGGGTTGCACTGCAGCGCCTTCTGCCCAAAGGTAGCTTCGAACTTGGTATCCACCGGCGGCGCGCAGCCCACCTTCTCATCACACAGCTGCTGGGGACCTGCCGTGAGACACCCTGCCGGAGAGGTGTGTCTATATAATGGGGATTCACCATACAAATGGCTAGTACGGGAAATGATGATCAACAAATTGGGGAGCATCCTGTCCTATCTTCAGATAACCCCGTGTTGGGGGGAAGTTTACCACTATATAGAATTCAACAGTAGAATGGTTTACAATGTACGGATTCACCCATGGGAACAAATCCAATATCGCGATCAGAATCAACGCCCCCGTGTTTGGGGACCGCAAAACAGGTGCAATACTTTCAACCAGGGTTTCGAGTACCCTTCAATGAATCAGGTGTGTATCACCAAGTATCATGGGATGAAACCACCAATATCAATCCAATAAATACAACTGGTAAATACTAAGTACCAACCAATGACATACTCAGTTGGCTGGGAGCAAAAACAATGGAGAGAACGGACCCAGAAACTGTCCACTTTTGAAATCCGAATCATGAATCCTGGCAGTGATTCCCATCATAATTTATACCCCTTGTCAGAACAAAGTCAACAACGGAGCTTTTTTATGATCCTCAAAGGGACCAGTCGCATTTGGATTTCCGGAGTTTTTACCCATAACGGGAGATCGTTGTGTAATAGGCATAGGCATAATAGGATAATCAAAGGATGTGAATGGACAATTAGCCTCCAGTGATTTAACCGTTAACATACTTCGATGATTGGTCAATTTTCCCATGTCACGGCTGGGCGAAACACCAGCCGTGTATCAGATCACAAGAACCCTCCTAGACATAAGGGGAGTTCTTTTTTTCTGGGAGATCCTCAAAACATCTCAAAACCATTAGTTTCAATACTAAAATTGTCTATCAATTGGATTTGGGGCCTGACTTTGGAAACCTCCATACCCCCCAACCGCCAGATATCTGACAAATCCACTGCCGATCTCTCCCGTAAGATGAATTCTTTGTTGTCGCGTTTCTGGAATCTCAAGCAAATCGAAATCAAAATGTTTGGATCAATATTAACATATTTCAAAATCCGTAAACATTATATAAAAATATCAATATACCCATATTTTGAACTATGTACAATGTTAATATGATATTAATTAATAGATATTAATTCCCCTTGTTCAAAATACCAAAATGGTCCTCTCCCCACATACCCCCCATGGCGTTCTGCGGGTCTCCCCCGTGCACCTCCACTTCCACCCAGCTGACATTGGTTCCCCTGGCTGTTGCATCTCATCTTCGGCCAGTACCTGGTAGCCTGCTGAAAGAGCGGAGCGCAGCGAATGTGTCCCGAGAATGAGATGGGAAACATGTAATGTGGGAAACATGTGGCTTAGAATAGGCTATTCAACCATATTAACCTATTATTGTCCCTTATTATCCCATATATTAATCCATGTTAATCCTAATATTAATCCCGGTTCCCCAATAATAAACACAGCCCAGCATCTCCGGTTAAGTGGTTGAACCAGTTCGGATTACGATGTCAATCATAGCAATTCCCAGAATGGGGTGTGATCCCCTATTTGTTGGATAGTCTAACCCCTGCAATCATCAACCAACCATCATTTATCAGTTATATCATGTTATATCCACTTAACTTATATCCCCATATTATTGATGGCTAAAACTATATCAATATTGGTCAATATCCAAAAAAATATATCTCAACCAGCATGGATTCTCTTCCCGCCAGGGTGTGAGAAACCCAACAGCGCCGTTTCATGGTGCGAAATCCCACTGATCTTTCAGTCATTTTGAATTTGGTTCTAGGTCACATAAAATTGATCACTGGCGACTCCGGAAAAAAAAGAAGTATGCAGGCATGTGTGTCATGTTTGATTTGTTTGTCCAGACATAAAAGATTCATCCATAGAAAGTCTTGTCATGTTTGACTTGTTTGTCTCCAGACAGCTCTCCCGTTATCGCCTTTGATGCAGATTATCCAAGTTGCTGGCATGGATGACATCAACACGTGCGGCACCCAGAACTTTTATATACTAAGCTTCCCCATGTGGGCATGGTTGAAAACGGATTACACCCCCAATTTGTGGGAAAATTGGATGAGAAGCCATACCCTCTGGTAATTTAACATAGCTATTGAAAATGGTCATTTATAGTGGATTTTCCCATTAAAAATGGTGAATTTCCATAGTTATGTTAGTTTACCAGAGGGTATAATTTTTGGTGGTTTTCCAATTTCAGTCTAACCCGATGTCAATGAGCGGTTTTTCGAAAAAACGCCCTCAAGGTGAGCTCCTGAAGATTGTCGGGGGTCTGGAAAGTGAAGGACTGTCCGGCTGCGATCTTCAAATTTTGCACCTGAGCACACATCATCACACATCCACATGTAACTGCCTCAAGACAGAGCTGACCAATGAAGATCAAAGTCATCCCCAAATTGCGTTTTCCATATTGGATAAATGGCAGTGTCTCTAAACCTTGTACCCCTGGTGAACATAAAAATAGCTGGTAAATGGATGTTCATCCCACTAAAAATGATACTAATAGGTTTTGACCCATCCCCATATTGGATGAATGGGAAACCAATTAGTACAACCCCGTAAAACATGAACTGGGCAGAAAGCTGTGGCTGGATTTTCATCCTATGCCCCAGCAGTAAGTGACCCAGTGGCACCATGAATTATTTAACCAACATAACCAAGAAACAACCAATAGCTGCCATAGTCGGATGTTCATCCCCAACCTATGATGAGATCATCAGAGGTTTTGATCCAAGCCCATATACTTGGTAGATTCATATCCATATATCATGTCAAGTTGGTTATATCAGATCCCATTAAATTTAACATGCTAAAGTGATTAAACCACTATTTTTGATGGTGAAATTTCACCTCTTCGCGCCGAGAGGCATCGGGTCCGACTCCGCTGCCAGCAATGTGGGCCACCCAAAGGGGCCTCAGCATGGATACGATCAGTGGATCGGGATGAGATTTCGCCAACAAAAATCGAGGGAATTAGGGGAATTCACCAGCAAGAAATGCGATTTGATAAGCAACCAAAATAGTACTTTAGCCGACCAAAAATGGAGCTTTCACCACCAGAAAATGTGGATTTAAAATGACTTAAACAACAAATAGAGAAATGTTATCGGCCATCGTGTAGTGCTGCAATCCACCTAGAAGTTGTATATTTTGTAGGATAGGAACCCCCTATCCAACCTACCATTTGGTGGGATCGTCTTAGCACTTGTCATGGGTGTACAATCCTGCTGGCAACTTCGCAGAAGGCGACCGCGGACCGCGCAAGGAGACTACAGTTGGCAGTTCCATTTCAGTTGACCATGAGAAGGCTACGGGAAGCCATCATGTGTATGTATGTGTATATATATATATATGCATATACATCATATACATAGTAACTCTGTGTGTGTGTGCCATGGTCAAAAGATGGCGTATGGTTTATGGTCATCTCACCATCGGTATTTCTGACAAGGGGTACATAAATCCGTATGAATGGATGACCATCCACCCAGATGGACATATAATCCAACTTTGCCCGTGGCATCCCAGGAAGTGTCCCGCTATCCAAAAGAAGATACAACTGGCTTGTCCCAATATTTTTAACCAATACCAACTGGGATGCACGTTCGAATCGGGATGGATATATCATGATATAATCCAAAAGGGCAAAGTTTTTTGGGGCTCGAATCCATTTTCATGAATTTTCATGCTCAATGGCTCAATGGAGGCCTCTTTTTGATGTTTCATGAAGGCCTCAGTGTGTGTCGCTATCACTGTGACACTCAAGATTTGGCCAGTCAGATTGGAGACAAACAGAGCTTGGAGCTTCGTCAATTTGCACCGAACATGATCCAAGATGTGCGTCAAATTTACAAAAAAGTATCATAGATATATGATAATATACGCATGGTTCATGTCCGAGCTAGCTTCAACATCCGTCAACCGTGAGTTTTTCACCACCAAAGTGGCCCACCTTCAATTGACAAATGTTGATGAAACCATCAGCAAGATGGCCTTGTCTGAGAATTGGATACGGTGCCAATAAACCCATGGATTACAACCTCATTTTCCCACTGACATGAACTGCCATGTTCATGGGGGTGAGATTCCCCAAATGTCATATCAAGTTGTGGTCAGTTTTATTATCCCATTTGATTTATGTTCCCGGGGTTATCCTGCAGTGTCAAATCTGAACTTGTTTATCCCATCTATATCCAATTTGTGGTCGAATATATCCCATATTATATATATATACATATATATATAATCATTTATTTGTTTGTTCATTTATTTATTTATTCAGTTAGTTAGTTAGTTAGTTAGTTAGTCAGTTAGTTAGTCAGTCAGTCAGTCAGTCAGTTAGTTAGTTAGTTAGTTATCTATATGTATATCCCCAGTTGTATCCCACTGAAGCCCTAAAAATGCTGAAATCCAGTCCCTCCCGGGCGCCCGACTCAGTCTCACAAGCGTTTTTGATCACTAAACGCTGAGACGCACCGCAGACCTTCGACGAGGAGCCAGGCAAATCATCCGCGCCAGGGATAACCAATATTGGGATGGGATTCTATGGTCAACAATGGTTAATCATGGTGAATAACGGTGAATAATGTATAATAGTGGTTGATAATTTTGTATATGACAACGAAATCCACTAATAAATCATCATTTTCCCTATGGAACGGCTGGAATCGGGGGTATACCGGTATACCCCATTTTCAGACTAATCCATGAAGAAGGGATTGCTGAAGCTAATCAAACATATGAACCGAACATGGGTGCCACCTTCCACATCAAGGAGAGTCAAACACAAGTGTGTTGACTTACCATGGCGGACCTTACCCGACCTTATACTCCCAGCAGAAGAAAAAAAATGTATGACAGATTCCAGCATCTATAGTAATCTATAGGCCCTATAGGCTAAAAAAACATAAGCCAGGAAGACCCATCAAACTGCCCTCTGGTAATCAGTTTCCCATTTTGTAGATGATTTTCACGTTTAAATAGCCAGATGCAGGGGATTTCCCAGCGGCCCGCCACCTTTGACACGTTTTCACAGCATCTCCAAGGCACGAAGAAGGCGAAGAGGCCGCCGAGTCGCGAAGCCAGCACCGTCATGCTGTCACTTTTGGGGGAAGCGAAGGCGGAATATGCCAAAAACTGTGAAGAAAAGCTCATCTCATCAAGTTGCCACCATCTATTGATATCTGAGCTTTCGGAAGTTGATGAGTCGATAGAGCTGGTTGAAGAAACCTAGCCACGCTGTGATGATCTGGCTTGAACAAACGCAGCTTGGGTATCTTCTCAGTAAACTCGAAGTTGTTTCTGTCTAGAAGCTAGCAAGTGCAGTGGTTTCAACCCATATAATGTGTATATACATATATATATATATTATCCTAGTGTATGAATATGTATATATATATATGCATGTGATATGTATACACATACAATCATATTACACATGTACTGTGCAATTACATGAAATGAGCCAGTTGTGTTGATGATTCTGAGTGAGGGGGAAAAACGATCCTGTGAACAGTGGGTCACTAGTCATGCCCCTGTGATCTTCTGTGATTCTGCGGATACTCCGACTTATTTCCGTGATTGTCTGGTCCTCAGATACAGTATATATATATACACATATATATATATGGGGTGGTTCCGGTCTCAAATACTTAGAGCTGGAAAACTTTCTGGAATTGGTGATACCCATTGAACAGCCACCATAGACAAGAACCAAAGCCCTGAGACTAAAGTTGTCTCCCGAAGACTCACATGAAACGCGAAAACATCAGTTTGGGAGATGATTGTTGCATAGGTTTTCTGAGTTTTGTGCAGGGTTTGTCCAAACTTGCGGTTACCCCAAGTTTGCAATTTATATACATGTGAAAAACAATGTGATTGTGTAATCCTTTGGAAACCCCATTCTCCGTTAACAAAAAACATCAAAAAACTGCAATGCTAAAATCTAGGTGGGTTGCTGTTAAAATCCCTAAAAATCATCTTGAAATCCCTCTTTTTATGGGTAAATCACGTCTAAATCACGTCTTTCAAAGTCCCAGTGATTCAGCTTCCGGCCGGCCAGGCCGCCGGAAAATGGGAGCCCTGCGACCGGATCGACCTGCTTTTTTGAACGTGCTGCGGTCATCCATTGCGAAGCGTGAAAAAATGGCTTACCCTCTGGTAAATTAAGAGTTTGCTATGGAAAATCACCATCTTTAGTAGGTAAATCTATGGAAAATCACCATCTTTAATAGGTAAATCAATGTCAATCAACTATTTCTATGGGCCATTTGAAAAATAGCGATGTCAGCTATGATAAATTACCAGTGTGTAATCTACATACCTATGACAATGGATCGATGACCATCCCCTAATATTGGCATACTATCCAACTTTTGACTCCTCCCAGGCGGACGCACTGCCAAGTCTCATGCTGGCCAATTGGCGGACAAAGGATAAATGGAAAGGGTGTGAAAAAAAAATCGAATGAATACGCGACAAGAAAAACAAACACTTTTGACCATGGCACGTAGCAAGACCTTCAATAAATTGAACATGGGAACGAGGCGCCATGTTCATGGCCCGCTGAGTGTGTCGAATCCACCCTTGGCACCCAAGTCTATAGCCTAAAAGGCTTCTATCCCCGCCATGGTACCAGCGCTCCAAGTTTCAACCGAAGTGTTATCAATGCTGATATTGAAATGCTGCTGCTTCGTTCAATGATTACAAACAACTTTTGACAAGCTGTATTATACATATACACATATTGGGATGCCTCAAACTTGGGTTCTCCCAAAAATGAAATGGACGTGGAATAATGTGGTGAAAGCAATTATAAACCATCCCCAATCTCACCATTGAGACCTTGCCTGGCAACCGGCGCCCAGGGCGCCACGTGACGAGACAGCCGAGATACCTCCAGCAAAATTGGAGCATGAAGTGAGGATCTAACCGAATCTAATCATCAAAAACTGGGAATTCAAATGGGTATGGGTCAATACCTATAGATACATTTTAGTGGGATGAACATCCATTTACCAGCTATTTTGGGGTTCACGGCACGGTACCAGGGTTTTGACCCATCCCCAAATGAATTTAAGCATCAAAAACTGGGGGAGTTTTGGGATTCAACCATCATTGATTTCACCAAGGTTTCATCATGAAATTTCTGTAGGTTCAATCAACAAACATGGTGAGAACATCACCGAGCTTCACCAACGCAGATGGGGATGTTCACCAGGGGATGTGTTGATTTAGATCATCTGTATAGGAGATGTTCCTTCTTGCGAGAGGGCAGGAAACAGATGGAAACCGTGGGGATCCTTTGGCAACAAAGTGGCAGTCGCAAGTCCCTGCTTCCTGGAATAAGTGGAAAAACTATGAAGTTTTCTCTTAATCACTATCCATTTCTATCCATTTCTCTTAATCACTTCTCCGCGTCGCCGCGTCTACCCAAGTTTTCCATAATCAAACGGGTAATATCCTGAGTTGACGTGGAAGAATCTGCCTGAAACTGGGGCAAAGCTACGAAGACCATTATAATACAGTACTGGTTGAGAAGGTGTGGTGGACGAACAACAATGGGAATGCAAATTGTTGGTTGTTACAGGATTGAATGCATTTTGGTTGTTCATTTTGCAAGACACATTCATTATACCCTCTGGTAATTTAACATAGCTATTGAAAATGGCCATAGAAATAGTGAGTTTTCCCATTAAAAATGGTGGATCTTTCCATAGCAAACTGTTAGTTTACCAGAGGGTAACGGTATCCCAACCAACTCCAGGGTGACATCCTTGAAACATGGAGAATCCTTGGCACCCGCACTGCGCGCATCGCCGCGTCTGCCTCAGAAAAAATGGGTGTGTCCCAGAAATGGGAGGATTTACCTCCATGTCGGGACATACCAGTATGTGTCATGGGAAAAGTGTTCGAAACAATTTAAATATGTATATGTATAATATATATATATACGTATATGTGTTATATTATATATATATACTATAATTATATATTATATTGTATTATATATATATTATGTATTATATGATATATATATATTATTATATTATTATATTATATTATATTATATTACATTATATTATATTATATTATGTTATATTATATTATATTATATTACATTACATTACATTATATTATATTATATTATGTTATATTATATTATGTTATGTTATGTTATATTATATTATATTATATTTGTATTATTATATTATATTATATTATATTATATTATATTTGTATTATTATATTATATTATATTATATTATATTATATTTATATTATATTTGTATTATTATATTATATTATATTATATTATATTATATCTATATATATCTATATATCATATTATATCTATATATTATATTATATCTATATATATATATGTTTTAATCAATTCTCCGAAACCAGGGTATGTTCAGATCACCCCCCAAAGGTGGGGGTTCCTCTTGGTTTCCCTGGTTTAAAATTATGCGGGATGAGTTCTGAAAAATGGAAAACCAAGCCGCACCGGATGAACCCAAAAAAATAGCTGGTAAGCAATAGCATAAAATATGTGTTGTTCTAAATATACCTCAACTTGTGTGGACCCATTGGAATCCCATTTTGCAAGGTCATCCTCAAAATTGGATCCTCCCAGGTGGCCTCCGTGCCGCGTGACACGCCGGTCCAAGCGGGTCCAAGCCGGTCCCGAGCCCAAAGTTCTCAGCTGGGAACACCGAGGAGTTGGCAAATCTTTCCGTACGACCTAAAATGACCTAAATACTGTAAATATCTACCATGAAATATCTACTGTAAATCCTCGCATGGAACATAGCCACAAGGGCTTTCAAAAATGGAAAGGTTACCAGCTTGCCACTGCAGCACGATTTTCTACACAGAAAGCTGGTGTGCTGAGCCCTTCAAGAATTGGATAGAATTGGAACATATCTACAGTCATCTCCAACAAGCTAGAACGACAAATTAATCAAATAAACATGAAAAGGGAGAACATCTGAGAAAATGACCTTTTCCCCTATGCATCTACCTACAGTACGAGGTACATGGTTTCATGGTTGTGATCTCACAACTCATCACATGTGACCGCCCCGCAGGACGACCCCTGGGAAGGAAACAGCCCTGGTCACCTTGTATAATCATGTCAGGAACCCATAACTAAACCCTCAAGGGTTTCATTGGAGATGATGCATTCTTGGGTTTCACACATGGTACCCTCTGGTAAACTAACATAACTATGGAAAATCACCATGTTCAATGGGAAAATCCACTATAAATGGCAATTTTCCATAGCTACGTTAAATTACCAGAGGGTAAGCTACATTGTCGGCATTTGTCACTTGGTTTTTTCAATGAGGGACTCCAACAATCCAACCATTGGATAGTCTTCGCAACCTCGGTGACTGTGACCCCAGGAATCGAATGCCCAACTTTGACCAAGCCTTTCCACTGGTTCTCCCAATCACAAACACGGGATGGGTCAAAGTTTGTTTGGTGGGACTCCCAGGAGGCCCCTACATTTTGTTTGCTATCGATGTCCAATTGTTTTGGGAAGATTTTGACCCATCACCAAATCCATCGGCACTCCACGGCGTTTTCCTCGCCACAACGCGAGCGACGCCCAAGGTGTCACCTGCGAAAGTTGACGCGCAGCTGCAACGTTCTGGGAATGGGTCGGAAAATTTATCGGTCCAAAATGTGTGGATCATTTGTGGCAGTAAAGCATTTCATGTGTCATTGCAAAATCTTGAGCGATGCACATCTGAGGATGAACTTGTCACGGCCCACGAGAGAAATGTGTGAAGAATTCATGATGTTCCAAGATCAAAGTCTGCTGTACTCTGCACTTGAAAATCATCCCATTAGCACTTGCAAGTGGTTGGGAACCCAACCGTTAGTAAAATTTTGGCAACTGTGGTTCTCCCGGGTTTATCTCCCAAGCAAAAGCATGTCTGGCCTGGGAGAGATTTCCTCTATCAGGTTTATCAACCGCCCTTTTCAGGCTAACCACCATGTCACCACCATGTTCATCACCTAGCGGCCTAACAGAGATATCAAAACATGCTGTCTCACACCCCAAAATCTGGGCTAATCTTCCACATATATCGTGCGAAACAGGCACAGCTATAGCTGGGCACAGTGGTGTGAAAAAGTATTTACTAACCTGCACCCGCTGGTTTATCCAGAATATCCTGAATATCTTGAATTATAGTCAATGGATCATCAGCAATGCTTCATCATGAATTAAGCAGTAATCATCGTCAACCTATTTGGGATTGGTCCCGTAAAGAAATTAATTATCTATCATCAACATTATCAACAATAATGATTCATCATTAATCAGCTTAAGCTGTGAAAATATCAATGAACCATTAATCATGAGTCATTAATCTTCAAGCCTGCCATGATAGCTAATTAATTATGATAGCCTATTATGAATCACTAACAATCATGATAGTATTATTAACAATAATTAGCCGATTATTCATTCATGACATTAATCATAAATGAACCATTAATAATCGTGTGCCGCCTGGGCCAGCCCCATGGTGGCGGCCACCCAGCTTGAGGTGGCACCCATGCCTCGGCGATAGAAAGCCGAGGAAAATGATCTACAAATGGAGGATGTAGACCTGGATGTTCCACGTCTAGACGAATAAAGACCAGGCTACACATGTCTTTTAAAGTCACACCAAGGTTTAGGATATTCAAAACCAATGCTCCATGTTTTTTTACAAAACAACAGGTTTTGAACCACCTTCTCACATTCTCGGACTTGTATTGAAGTTTAGAATCATTAATGATGAACTGAAGTCTGTCATTAGTCATGAGCTGAACATCAATGCTAGTAATATCCAATTAGTGATTATATTATATTGGTTTTCATATATCATTGTAATTAAAATATGTGTATATCAATACAATACAATATGTATAGTACTAATATAATCCCCCATATATATATATAGTACTGAAGTGTTGATTGAGATCTATTTGGTCACCTGCCCCATGGTCGCCTCGCTGGTCGAAGGGGGGGGTGCCTGCGCCCCGCAGGGGGAGGTTTAGTATTTCAATGGCTACAATAAAGTGATATAACTTATGATATAATTTATGATATAACTATCCAACAATACGAAAAAAGGCTTTGCCCGGAATGGCGGAATGACGCTCAATTTATGGCCATGTTCGTGAAAAATTGATGAACAAAACAGTGGATGTTTGCCATAGTGAAACTCATGAGTCTAATCAGCCAACATTGGAATATCGACCAGTCATTCCAGTAGTAAATGTTTGGTATACTCAACAAACCCTAAAAACTGTTTCTGTGTAATTATATATATATACCCTCCTGCAAACTAATATAGATGGGGTTTTCCCCACCGTATGTCGTTCCTTTTCCGAACGGGTTTCTCCATGCGTCTTCCATCCATATCATTGATTTACCCTGACAATCCCTGGACTCAGGGATCATCTACAGAATGACGATGTTGCAAAATTGGGTCAACAAAACCTGTAGGTTGGAACTAGAAGTTATATCATATGGAATAGTTCGGTTATAATGTATATATATATATAATTGGTATAAAATTTCTTGGGATAGGTTGGAACTAGAAGTTCTACAGATACCACCAATGGTTCCCGGGGGATGACACTGCAAAATCGTCATCGGAGCTGAACCTGAAAAATCTTTGGCAAAATTTCAACACCCTGTTGCCTCTCAGAAAACACCTATTGAAATATGAAAAATCCCATGTTTCATTTTTGAACGTGGCAAATTATCATTATTGTTCCAGTGTATGGTTCTGGATGACCATATTATATTCCATATGTACGCAACGTTTCGATTTTTCAAAAATGAGGAGGTGTCCTTTGCCAGTGGCTTTTTAATCTCGTGGTTGGTTAAAAAAAAGAAACATCGATTGCAACCGTGCCCTGCGCCTCGGAGGGCGGGACCCAGGGAGCATCCTCGCCACCTGTCTGGGAGATGGCTTGGAAAGCTTTGGGAGACCGCAAGTTTGCAAAGGAAAGTTGTCAGAACCATTACATGTGTCTGTGCGTAATATATATATATGTATTATATATATATGTATATGTATATATTTTATATATATATATGTATTATATATCTATAAATGTATTATATATATATATGTATTATATATCTATAAATGTATTATATATATGTATTATATATGTATATATGTATTATATATGTATTATATATGTATTATATATATATATTATATGTATTATATATATGTATTATATGTATATTATATATATGTATTATATATATATGTATATGTATATATTTTATATATATATGTATTATATATATAGATGTATTATATATATAGATGTATTATGTATATATGTATTATATATGTATTATATATGTATTATATATATATGTATGTATTATATATATATATGTATATGTATATATTTTATATATATATATTTTATACATATATGTATTATATATATATGTATTATGTATATATGTATTATATATGTATATATGTATTATATATGTATATATGTATTATATATGTATTATATATATATATATGTGTGTGTATTTATTATATATATATATGTATTATATGTATATATATTATATTATATACATATATATATATATATATGTTTTATATATATTATATATATATGTTATATATATATTATATATGTGTATTATATATGTATTATATATATGTGTGTATGTATTATATATATATATGTGTATTATATGTATATATATTATATATTATATATATATTTGTTTTATATATATATATGTTTTATATATATATATATTATATATATATATGTGTTTTATATATATATACATTATATATTATATACATATATATGTATTATATATATAATGATGTATTATATATATGTATTATATGTATATATATATATATTATATATATATACGTATTATATATATATATTATGTGTATTCTATATGTGTATTATATATATACATATATGTATTATATATATATATATATGTATTATATATGTATATCTATATATATACAATTAGATGTATACTGTAGTCAGAAAATGATGAACATCTAATGGTTTGTCATTCCCCCATTTTAGGGATGGATTGAGACCACCAACCAGGCAAAATAATGTTCAAAGCCATGGGACGAGTGTAGATCCTCTGGTTAACCACCGAGCACTAGCCATCTGGAAATCCCCATCCATTTACGAGAATGTTCAGGGAAAATGCCGACTTCACCACAATACAAAGGGCCGGACCCAATCTTCATATAGCTTGCTTTCTTGCTCGGAAAATGTTGGTCAGTTTTTCCACTTCTGGGCTGTTGACTTCTAGCGATTCCGATTCCTCCCAATTCCGTCTCCACTCATCCACCTCAAAGCAAGTTGTGACATCCACCAACTCTCATCCTCCCCCCTCAGTTTAACTCCCGAAGTCCAGAAACATTACCCTCTGGTAATTCAACACAGCTATGGAAAATCACCTAGGTTATTATATATGATTATATAATAAGTGAAGCATCTATAAGTGGGCCATCTATACCATGGTTTTAAATTACCCGAGGGTAATTAATACACCTGGCCTAAAATCCTAAAACCCTACACGGTGCACTTCCAACTAGGCCGATGACCGGCCTCCGTACGCAACCAGCTCGTCTTTGGCTCTGCCTCGAGTGGTGATTGAAAACATATTGTCCCATAACATAAGTGCTCGGGTGATATTTTCCCATAACATATGTTATTGTACTCTATATATCTCTATATCAATATCTATGAATGATAGATGAAAACGGTGGGCGAAAACATCCGAACTTAGACCAGTTCTAGGATCTTGGGTCCCTTTTATGACCGGGTTCCAACCTTCGGCAGCAACTGGGATTAACCAACCGAAATGCTTACCCCGGCAATTGCAACGATGGGCTCCAATTCCAGATATATTTGTCTATATATATATATATACATAATTGTATTATATATGTATATTTGTGTATACTGTGGCCTGACTCATGTCTCTGGGATCTAGCCGCTTGGAGTTTGCCTACCACAAATACGTAGACAATGCAGTACATAAATATACATATGCATATGTAATTATTGTTATATTATATACAAAGATAACTATGTGCATATATATATACATATATATATATGCATATGTAATTATTGTTATATTATATACAAAGATAACTATGTGCATATATATATACATATATATATATACGTATATACATACACACGATATAATCTTCAGGAATCCGCAGTTCCGTTACAGGTTACAACTCCATGCCCATGTTGCACAAGTATTGCCTAAAAGCTGCCATTTTTCAAGGTACCCTTCAAGAGATGCGCATCCGCCAAGCAACGAAAAGGCGTGGTGGGGTTGCTAGGAAACTCCTGGTTGTACCTGACCAGCTGGGGGTGAGCCAGCAAGGAGGACTCTGCCAGTTGATAGATCTGAAAATCGTTGGGAGTCGTCATCCCATTTCGATGTTTGAACATCACAAGATATGTGAAACCACCAATGATCTAAAGCGTCCAATTTAAAGGGATTCAAGCAGAAAAATAATTGGCCCTGCTTGAAGACATTTCCGAGAACTGCAGCTTGACGTGAGCTACATGCAAGGGTCATGCAAGAGAAACCTGGAAAAAGAACAGGACTATAGCAGGCTAATAATGTGTGTGTGTGTGATCCTAATAAATATATAGATAGATAGATAGATAGATAGATCGATCGATAGATAGATAGATAGATAATAGATAGATAGATAGATAGATAGATAGATAGATAGATAGATAGATAGATAGAATGATAGATGATAGAATGATAGAATGATAGAATGATAGAATGATAGAATGATAGATGATAGAATGATAGAATGATAGAATGATAGAATGATAGAATAGATAGAATAGATAGATTAGATAGGATAGGATAGGATAAGATTAGATTAGATTGGATTGGATTAGATTAGATTGGATTATATAGATTGGATTAGATTTAGACTTAGATTAGATTAGATTGGATTAGATTAGAATAAATTTAGATTAGATTAGATAGATAGACAGATAGATAGATAGATTCCATAGCAGGTTACGATGTGCCTCCACTTTTCGGTCTCAAACGCATATTACTTGCGGCCAAGTTTCCAATGGGATTTGTTCGAAACATGTTCCCCGCAACCCCCTGGTTCGCCCACACTCAAGCAACACATCCAAACAATATGAAGTACTTATCACCAGAGGATGCATGAAAACACTGGCTATACGCAGTGATTTTGACTTTATTTTTTCAGGATTTAGGGTTTTAATTTAGGGTTTGGGATGGTTTAGGGTTTTAATTTAGGGTTTTGGGTTTTAGGTTTTAGGGTTTTGATGTTTGTTGCTTTGGAAAGTAAAAAACTTAAAGCCTGCGCAGGGATTTGAGCATGTCAAAGGATATGCGGGATTGGCCGCGGGCAAACCTAGGGGTTGCAGCGAACATGTTCAAACCTTAACCTGCACTCTGAAACCTCTCTTTGCTTTGGGTTTCAACTGGTTCAGATGTTTTTTGTTTGGGAAATTCGCCGACAAGCGGCGTGGACTTTCCCCGATCCGTCATCCGTCATCCGTCATCCGTCATCCGTCATCCGCTCCGCCTCTTCACAATCTCATCATCCACCAGGCGAACGCCGTCCAGTTGGTTCCCACAGGTGATCCAATTCTCATGGACATTGTGTGGCCGACCTGGGGGCGTCGCTACTTCCATTGGTCGCATTGAAAAATGGATGTCGTTAAATGATGCCCAAGGTTTAGCGATGATAAAACTCAACAGAAATGCCAGAAATGCATTTTAGTTGATTTTAGATGATTGTTTACGGAAAAACTCAACAGAAATGGATGTGAAGATGACTTGAAGCAGCAATACCAGACCCTGCAAAGACCCAAAGACCCAAAGATGGTCTCAGTATCGCATCTCATTCACAGCCACAATCTCGCAGAAATGGAAATGATGCGTCAGCAGTACCACTACCCTGGAGAATGGCCAGCCATTGATATCCAAAGAATCATCGCAGTGGAAGCCATGAAAAAAATCACGCTGCTCCAGCCTGGTCCTTCCAGAATTTTCATGGTTGAGCCATGTCATCCCCCAGTTTCTGCTTGGCGTTCCCATATCAATTCTCTACCCTCCGGCCTCCGGTGTCATCAAACATGGCTTGCTGCAAAAAATCCACCATTTATTTATGGTATGTTCCATCAAAACCTCCATTTAGTGCGGGGATTTCTCAGCTAGCCATTTTTTGATGACACCGGTGTGTACCCGTTCTTTCGCACCCTCAGATCCAGGCCAAAGAGTTCCAGCTTGGGGCAGTTGGGAAACATGCGCTCCTCGGCCATAGCAGCGGGCCAGGTCCCCTGAAAGTCAAATGACTCATTTTGCCCACTATTGTAGTGATACATAGTCCACAGTTGATGCGGGGATAAGTTGAGTCATTGAGATTTTCTGAGATGCCTAATTCTTAATATCACATTACTGTAGCTCTTGCATCCTCGTTGTTCATGGGAAATCCAGCTGAGTGTGGCGGGCGATCAAGTTGTAGATCTCGTCCGGCTTCCTGGAGGTTTCCCGCACCTCGCTCACCTGGTTTTTTTGGGCTGTCCGTTAAACAGGCTCAGAATGTGGCTTTAAGGCTTTAAGGTAAAAACACATATCAAGAGAAATTGCAAGTGTATATATATATGTAAATATACTGCACATATATATATATATACAGTATATACATATATATATATATATGTATATAGCTAGCCCCAAAAATATTGAAAAGTAAAATCCGCTGAAATAGTGATTAATCATATATTCTCCCATTTCTTTGGGCGCTATAGACAATAATTGGTTGGATCTCCAGGACACCTGCGATGTTGTAAGCCCAAGGACCATCCGGATTGAAGCAAGAAATATCGAAGATTCAATGGGAATAGCGGGAATACCCAACAAATTCCATCAAATACAAAAAAAGCATGAAATCCAGGTTGAAGCAACAAAAATTAATGATTCAAAAAAATTAGAATGGAGACTCAAGCAAGACATTGCAACAGTTCACTCAGCTCACCAACTTAACAGTGGTATAACAAACGAGAGATGGAGATGTCTGCGCAGCATCTTTGGGATGCATACTCTACTTATCACCCGGAAGGGTGTCATGTCATCAAACATGGCTGGGAACTTCTCATCAAAGATGGAGGTTTGGTTCGCTGGGAAAATCAACATATAAATGAACATTTCCCAGCAGCTTTTATGACAATGGAGGGTATAGACAGTATAGCAGGTCGTTCATCTGTTCGAAATCGCGGAGGCTTCTTTTTTTACTCCCTGCAACCCAACCGCACACAGGTGTATAAAAATGTTCAAAATCATGTACGTACGTACATACATTACATTACATTGCATTACATTACATTACATTCCATTACATTGCGTTGCATTGCACCGCGCTACATTATATACATTACATTACTTTACATTACATTGCATTGCATTGCATTGCATTACATTACATTACATACAGACATACATACATACATACAGAATCATACAGATATGTATATAGAAAACATGTTCCCAATTCCAATTGTACATGATCTTGCTATTGAATCAACTAGCGAACATGCTTATTTGTAGATGACTCGCCAGGTTCTATTACCAAAAGGTATGCAAAATACGGGGTTGTCTCCAAATTGGTAGCCCCATACAGTAATTTCATGGATAAGTGCCGTTTTCCCCATTCAAACTGTCCTTTGAGTGCCAATAATTTCATATTGTTGGTTATATCCCTACTATCCCCGTGTTGTTTTCCTATTACATACGATTATTTAAAAAAAAACTGTGATGGGTGTCTATCCATTAAAATTATGAGGTGTCCCATTTTACAGCTGATGCATATCCTTTAATCATATGATGGAATTATAATATCACCCGTGTAATTATCAATCTTGTACGTATAGATGATTGCATCCCATACACCTTAAAGTACATACCCATCGTACATCATCCATAGCATGCTCAACGTCTCTGGGTGCCCCGTTCGATCACATCACAGTCCAGATTCCTGGGGGAAAAAAACGAATCACGATGAATCCCAAATATATCTATATCTACTATTTATGCATGGGGTGTGGCAACCATCTAAAATCAAAACAACAACAACAACAGCAACACCAACAGCAACAGCAACAGCAACAGCAACAGCAACAACAGCAACAACAACAACAACAATAGTAGTCGCATTTATAATATACATATAGATATATAGACTGCTATGAATCTCACTGCAGGAAAATCATGATTCTTGCTGACTAAAATCACAATTTGTAGTGGTGAAGAATGGAATTTTCATCTAATGATGTGCCCCACCAACTGCAACGATGGGCCCTGTTTTGGGAGAGTTTAAGGGAATTGTGGGGGTGTTTTCTATCGCAAAACAACCATCCCACTTGGTTCTCCAACGAACAGAGATCATCGTGGCTCAACCATGGCTAGGAGCCCCGGAAGTAGTGAGATTCTCCCAGTTCAAAGATGTTCTAATTGGGCTACAACTTGCAAAAATGGTCACGTCCCGGTAACAATGGGTTGCAGGCTGATCCCCACCATTGATGAACCGCTAGAAAGTTAGAAAATATATTCGGAAGATGGGCTAGAACTAGAACTCCGCACCACAAAATAGCTGTGGGTACCGGGTAGCCATTTCCTCACCATGTTCCAACTTTAGGAATCATCCTTGTCTATATCAAGGATAGTGTTTACTTGGCACCCCTCCAAACGCCCCTGCGTCCAGTCTCACAGCTACCAACGGGCCTGTTGAGCTTTGGGTTGCCTTTGATGCCAACCAGACCTGGAAGCTACGACTATCCCAGTTGTTCCTGTTAGCTGAGGAGTGGGGCCCGGGGCATGTTTGACCAACATGAATCTGGGATCAAAGCTGCTGGTTTTTCCGACTTCAATTCCTATTCTAAATTCCTTGATCCGCCAAAAGAGATATGAACCAGGTAGCCATCCTATAATTTTGGGCCTTTGAGGCTCTACTTCCTGATTTTGGGATCTACCGAGAGGCCGGGCAGTGTTCCTTCGCGTGATTGATCCTGAGCAGAAAGAAACATGAGTCACGCCTACTGTGCGATCGGGTAACCATCCAGTGGCTTCTTGGGTGCCATACTATGTTGATACCTGCTCGCAATCTGCAGAAAACTCGCCAAATTCACCAAGCAAAATATCATGAGAAGAAAATGATAGAAAAATATAGAAAATATAGAACTGATCCTATCGAAAATGTTGGTTTGCCTCTGCGATGTGAACTAGCGGTAACTAGCGGGGTGGTAATTATTTCAAACTATGAGGTCGGCTGTGTCTGGTTTGGACGATTTGTCGGAGAAATAGAAAGAGCAGTAGGACGATCCATTGTAGGGTCTCTAAGATCGGAAAATGAGATCCCACGAGAAATAAGGGATTGCCTACAACAAGTCCCCTACTTTCCATTGCCAATGTTGAATAGTTCTAGGTAAATGTCTCGACCAGACAAATACAATCATCCCCCAGTTCCACCGTGATTGGCTTACATCCTGCTCTGTAACCCCAATTCACTCGCTACACGCAGTCACTCCAGGCTTCATGCATGGTGTGATACAAAACCATTGTCCAAAGACCGGCCCCAAGATTGGTAATATATAGTTTGCATTTCCATCTTTAGAGCCAAGTCTATATGTTTCATGGTTCATGATTCTTAAACCCTGATTTTTGTAATCACCATTTTGTCGGTCAAGATTCCATTGTTTGTTGGTGAGGGAAATCACCATTTTTGTGGGTAACTATCAATTTCTGTTGGTTAAATCTGTTCAATCACCATGTTTGTTGCTTTTTTTCCCCTAGTCTTCGTTGCTTCCGAGCGGCCAGTGTCCGGTGCGCCCCGTCCGGATGATGCGTTGCAACTGATTGGTCTTCACCCAGACGATCTCTTCAATCCTGGAAAGTTAGGGTAATAAGACCATACTATTAATAGGTTACATGTCCTAAAACCCATATATTTCATGGGTTACAATAAATATATAGATATATAATGGTAGTATAATGTCCTGGAAACTACCATTTCATGGGTTGCAATAGTTGCTTCCATTTATTAATGATGGGTTAAAATGGATAATGATGGTTATTTTATTGTTATGAATGATTCTGAATGGTGATCAATGATGATGTTGATTAATAGTTTATAACCACTATGAATTGTGCTTCGCATATTCATAGTATTGCTGAATGGGTTGCATGGATACATTGTAATAATGAGTATTTATATATATATATATACATATATACATGTGTGGGTTAAAATAATCGCTCCATATGTTTTGATGAGTGCAGGGATATGTATATCTATATGGCCATATTTTAATGTTTTTCTGGATAATATGCTCTCAAGAAGTGAATATGACCAACTAAGAACTGGGATAACTATACTATAGCTCGCTAGGACTACAGTAACTAGCACATGTTTTCACTATCCAGCTATTTCCTATTATAATCCTGGGACAATGTTATTAACATCGGTTATGACATGCATGCTAAGAAGGGTATCAGTTATGTAACAACTAGACTGCTATTAGTTTTGGAACAACATATGTACATTATGGGATATATTCGGATGTACCTCACCAACAAGTCTGCGGCAACCCATTTACGGTATCCAATAAGATCATGGAACTACTATTAGTTGCTAAGATTGTGTATGGTATGGATTTGGTAACCATTTTGTATGGCTATACCATTAATATCTCTGTAACTACTATTCTATATATGGAATTAATCAGCATTAGAAGTCAAACTTCCGACAATATGAACAGATGAAAAGCAGAGATGGGAAGAGCCAGACAAGAGAAGACAAGAGAAGAGAAGAGAAGAGAAGAGAAGAGGAAGAGAAGAGAAGAGAAGAGAAGAAGAAAGAAGAAAGAAGACCAAAAAAGAGAAAGTCTAGAAGAAAGAAGATCCAGGTGTGCGAAAAGGTAGGAAAGTCGCGAAACACTGTGTTTTTTCAATGATTTGTGGCTCCGGAGGGTCGAAAAGTAGGCTCGCGAAAGCGGCGGGTGCGGAGCCATCTGGCCAGATGAGAGATGAAAAGTTGCACGCGGTTGTATTGCGAAACACATTTCCAAATCAAAATGGACAAAACACACCAGGATCGGACCACTTTTGGAAGTTGAGTTGTGGAAAAAGTGCACGCCGTTGTGGCGCAAAGCACATTTTGAAGTCAAAATGTACAAAACACCCCTGCCTCAGAGCACTTTTGCAAGTTGAGATGTTCAGAAAGTGTATGCCGTTGTGGCGCGAAGCAAAACAGGACATTTGAAGAAGATCTGCAAAGATGGATTTCGCGTGGCAGGCGCAGTACAAGAGACATGTTCAATGTTCATCAGAGATGTTAGGAGGTCAGGCTGCTGATTTCCTGAGAGGGGTTGCATTTTGGAGCATCAGCTCTTCAGGTTTGCGAAGATGATTTTGCGTGACAGGCGCAGCACTTTGTCTGACTTTCGTTTCTGATGTTGTCAAGCTCCAACATTAAGGAAGTCTCGCAGAATTGCTGCGTTTTTGATGTTGCCAACTTCAAAATTCGAGGAAGTCTCGCAGAATTGCTTTGTTTTCAAGCTTGTAGATTGCAGATAGACACATAGATAGACACATAGATAGATAGATAGGTAGATAGATAGATAGATTGATAGATAGATAGACAGACAGACAGATAGATAGATAAGATTAGATAGATAAGAAAGAAAGAAAGAAAGAAAGATAGATAGATAGATAGATAGATTAATTAGATTAGATTAGATTAGATTAGATTCGATTAGATTAGATTAGATTATAGTTAAGGACATACACTTAGAACACAAAGTGTTTTCCAAAAAAAAAATCATACACTTAGAACACCGTTTTGCTGCGGGAGAAATTCGCCCCAACTGTTCTAAGTGAAGGCTTAGAACATGTTCTAAGTGAGCCACTTAGAACATCATCAGAAACGTGTTAGAACACATCTTATTTTTCTAACATGTGTTCTAAGTGTAGGCCCCTGCATGTAAATATATCATTTTGCAAAATATTAGGAAATATATATATATATGTGTATTTTATATAGTAAAGGATTCATACAGAAACCCTGCAACCCTGGTACATCTCTTGCACAAACTGCATACCTCTTCTTTTTGCGTGCTGATGGAACGGACATGCAAACACAGTCTTAGCCATGTTTTGGTCTTTGATCATATGAATTTAAATGGATCTGTGGATATTTCTGCATCATCTGGGTCTACACCATGTCGTTGCAAGTATCACTGGGACACAGTACGAAAGAAAACCAGAAAACCTATATGATAGAAGAAACACATCTGCATATGATAGACACATTGGGCGGTGTTCAAACTGCAGGTTCTCTTTGATTGGAAATTCAACCAAGTGTTCTAAGTGTATATCTACCCCTATGTGTTTGGGTTGTACTACAAGGGTGGCCCTACTCTTAGAACACCCTGCCCTTCTCCAGTGATGACATGTGGACCGATGCTGAATCTAGCTATGGTACGGGTATGGGTCAATGTTGCTGGCCATTCACCCAGGTTTGCTCCAGGATCCTCTGTATACAACGTGTCTCTTTTTTTGAAACAAAAAATGAAAATAATGTCTGTATATATATATATATATATACATACAATTTTTGCATTTCCAAAATCTTAAGCAAACCCAAGATCAGAACTTTTGGGTGGCTTCAGCAACTTTGACTTTGTCAAGCTGGCTTGCCCACAATTTATCCTTTGGGCAGGCACGGCAGTGCGCTGTAAGCACTGCCCTCACAGCAGACAACAAGGCTTCACATTCATTTCTCTTGGTGATTCCCCCCCAAGAGAAAGACATCCCAACCTTGGCGGTAGGGTACAGACCCTGCCACCGTCTTTCCTTTCCATGATAGGACAGACTGCACCCTTGCACATGCCTTGGCAAGGAGCAAAGACCCAACTTGTCCAATTTCTCATATGCTTCTCGGAATGAAAAACTCTTCACCTTCTCCACCTTGGAAACCACATGGAACTGGTTGACCTCCTCATCCGAGTCGGCCAGAAGGTACTCTCCCTCTTCATTCTCGGACTGCTCATCACTCTGCTCTCCTGCGTCCTGCTGGGCCTTTTGCATGTCCAACATCTTGTCCTGCATCTCGTCAGTGACAGGGAGGGCCTCAGCTTGATCCCCATCGTCATGAAGAACTTCTCCAGACCCCTGTTCAGCCTCCTCTTCCGCCTTCTGCATCTCTTCAATGACGCAAGCAGGAACATCTCCACTCAGAACCTGCACGGTCAGCTGGATGATTTAACACTTAGAACAGGCTGGGGTTCAGGTGATATGTGTTCTAAGTGTGTGTATATATATATAAGACATATGTTTCTTTTATTGAATATATATATATATATCATTATGCATTCATTTATATAAGATCATGCATTAAACATACATATGCAAATGTAAATATATGACATGTATATGTATATATATATAAATAAATGACATGTATGTATATATATATAAATAGATACAATGTATAAGTATGACTGGAAACCCGTGCCACTCCCACCTTTGATACAACACACTTAGAACACCTCAACATTGGCTGTCTCCCGGGCCTTCGGAACTGTTTGCTTCTGCGGGCGCCCTCTCAGCAGAAGAAGAAGATAGCGGCTTCCATCCGATGCACTCACTTGTAGCTCTTCTGGTGACTCCGAAAGATGCAATTGGATTGCAAGACAAGATTTGTCCCTTTTCACCTGTCTAGCATCAGTCACCTGCTTTTTCTTTGCTGCACTGAAGACTAGACGTGGCTCACAACGTGACTGCCATTCTTCATAAGATTTTTTTTGGGACTTTGTCAATGGTTTTCCTTGAGCTGCCTTCTCTGATATTTTTTCCCATTTGCTGTGATCACCCACAAACAAACATACTTGTACCTCAAGAACATCTCCAATCCACTTCGGCAAGACATACCGCTGCCCTTCACCATCCATCCTTTGAAGGCACCAAGAGTGACTCACTTCACCCTCCTTGGCATGTGACAATGGTGATGAAGGGATGTGTTCTAAGTGTGCACGGAGCAGCTGTTTATATACGTAACAGGGCGTGTTTTTAACAACTTCTTGAAGTACATGCAAGGTGCAGAACAAATAAATGTATGCATGTATCCATGTATCCATCTATGTATCTATGTATGCATGCATGCATGTATGCATGTATGTATGTATGTATGTATGGAGGCGTATATATATATAATTTTATATGCATCTATATGTATATATATATATTAAAACAAAAAACATATTTATATATTATAGTCCATGTGTTCTAAGTGTGTGTGTGTGTGCCCAACTGCTGAAAGGCAAAAATTAACAATGCTGCATTTATATGTATATATATATACATAAATATTATCCCACAGACATATATATATATGTATATATATGTATATATACATATCTTGGAACAAATGCTGCACCATGCCAACTGAGGCCTCAAAGAAATAAACAGGATCCACACATGTGTGTTTATACGCCTATGTGTAGCTGCCTATATATTTAAATATCTATCTATATGTATATATGCAAGTATATATGTGACATATATGTGTTCTAAGTGTGTGTGTGTGCATAGATATTTATACATATATTTGTATATATTTATTTATATATATATATTTATTTATTTACATATATATATATATACATATATATATATACATATCATGCCCAAATGCACTACGTATAATAAAAAAGCCTTACCACAGTTCCAGCTCCCACATGCAAACAGTCAGTGGCGCCAAGACACCAGCTCCTGAACTCGCATATGATTCAAATCATCTGAATCAGGCGTGATGTCTGGGAGGTCCTCCAACTGCAGCACATCACGCATAGAACCTTTGTCATGTTGAAGTAGATCCTCCACTTCTTTGGTCTTACCTGGGCATCAGACATTGTGGACGTCGTGATATTCCAATGTACCAGACCATCCTTTTGACTCTCAGCAACTTGAGAAACCTACCACTTAGAACACATCTTATTTTATATAACCACTTTTACAAGCACAACTAATCTTTGCTTGTGGCTGTATTTTATATATATATATGCCAACAAAGCATGTGTTTTGTGAATTCTTGCGTCAAACAACCCCCACTGCAGCTCATTCCGCACACTTTTGCTGCTGCTGATTGCAGAAACAGCGTTGATTTGCACACCCCTATGCTATGCATTAATATTGTACCTAGCCCAGATGTTCATGCGACCCGTCGGCTCTAAAGGACATTTGGTATTTGCTATGTGTCAGCATGGCATCGCCGCAAGCTACAATCTGAACTATATATGAACTCTTTGCCATGAGTCAAACATGGCGGAACTAAAGCAGGTAAAGTTCCAAGCTGTACACAGGCTAATAAAAGCTACAATGGAAACGTACCTGGCTCAATTGATCTCGTGATCTTCATCTCAGAAAGTCTTCGTCAGCTTCTTCCATGAAGATGCCCTGACCCACTGTGGAGTGAAATTTGGGTGTCCCCCAAGGCACCACAACTTCCATCCTTTCTCCCTCATGGCCTTCTTGACAAATGCCATCTCCTGGTGCACACTGGATTTCTTTTTAGGGTCAACCGGCTTGGAGCCTGGATGCAGTCGAAACTGGACAAGGCAATCTTGCACTGCCTTTTTAGCCTCTTGACTGCCGATCACAAAACGGCTCAAATGAAGAGATGTCTTGACGACCGGAATTGGTTTCTGATCACGGGGAGCATCAGCATGACGAGAATCTGAAAATCCAAGATCAGCAAGTGAAACCCCCAGCTCATTGGCCATATCTCGAGCATCCTGTGATGTCAAAGAGGCGGTGGATTCTGAATCGGAGGGTATGATCCAGTCATCATCTTCTGCCCTTCCCCTCCTTCCTCTGGTGGAAGGGGCTGGAACCGGGGTAGACATGCCACTGAAAAATGGGTGGGCCGCACTCCACTGTACTTGAGCAATAACCCTGCTATGCGTAAAATGATTGTGAAAATGTGTTCTAAGTGTATAAAACCACTACTGTGGAAACGCATGGGAAGACATCATATGATTTATTTATATATATATATATATGTGTAACAGCCCCTTGAAGTACATACAATGCACATATGTATGTATATAAAGAAATAAATCACATATATATATATATAGATTTATATACTCATCATGTAAATCATTCAGGAAAAGAAAAAACCGAATCCACACATAAGAACTGTTGCATACATACATGACAGGGTCGGAATGTGTTCTAAGTGTATGTTCGCCCAACCAAGGAAAGATTTCCACATAACATGAACCATGGAGTGATTGGAAACCACACCCCTGCGAAACCCTGGTTTATCCCAGATACCTCCAAACCGCCATCTGGCAATGTCCTCCACGCTGATGTATCCGCGGGACATCCAGCCAATCCAAATCAATTTGTTGTGCCTAAGCATGACATTGTCATCAAATGACCGTCACTTAGAGCAGACGGGAAGCTGTAAAATGACAAATTTCCCCAATTACGGAGACCATGTGAAGGAAAATTTCACCAGCCAATATATAAATACAACAAAAATATATGAGTATATATATATATAGATATATTTTTTTTGAAGCCAAAAAAAATTCACACATGTTCCCCATAATGGATATTAGCTGTCAACCACATCCCATATATTGCCACACCAAGAGTCTTTGAATCCAGAGATAGCTGCGCCATTGCGAATGCATCGGCTCGCAGAGACACTTCGATCGGACACCTGGGCACTTAAAAACAATTTGTATTCTATGTCTATGTATGTAGCTATATTTACCTACATATGTATATATATATATTTATTTATATTTATATATATTTATTTACGTAGAGACACAAAATAAGCATACCATTGTGTTCTCAGAAAGGCATGCAGTGCCAGTGCAAATATACTGCTGACCAAGGGATCCATATTTAATTTGCTCAAAAGAAATATATGAAGGGAAACCTCATGGAAAAAGCAAAAACAAACAAGAAATCCGACAGTAGAATTTTATACAATGTTCAACCAAGGCTGATACTCTATAGATATACATATATATATATAGTAGAGATGTGGGAACGAACAACGTGTTCTAAGTGTAATCCTGCCCACCAGAACAGATGAACCCGTGGCCCAAAGGGAACCTAAGGGAATTCCATCCATTAGCTTTGAAACATTTGGGTATTGAAAATAATATCACATGGAAAATTGCCTCATTCTTAAGGACTAACCAATAGATTTCATTGTCATTTCATCCAGGGATGACCCTCCTTACTCTTGGGTAGATCTGTGGGTGTTTCTTTATATATATATAGTAGAGATGTGGGAACGAACAACGTGTTCTAAGTGTAATCCTGCCCACCAGAACAGATGAACCTGTGGCCCAAAGGGAACATAAGGGAACTCCATCCATTAGCTTTGAAACATTTGGGTATTGAAAATAATATCACATGGAAAATTGTCTCATTCTTAAGAACCAACCAATAGATTTCATTGTCATTTCATCCAGGGATGACCCTCCATTACTCTTGGGTAGATCTGTGGGTGTTTCTTTATATATATATATATAGTAGAGATGTGGGAACGAACAACGTGTTCTAAGTGTAATCCTGCCCACCAGAACAGATGAACCCGTGGCCCAAAGGGAACCTAAGGGAATTCCATCCATTAGCTTTGAAACATTTGGGTATTGAAAATAATATCACATGGAAAATTGTCTCATTCTTAAGAACCAACCAATAGATTTCATTGTCATTTCATCCAGGGATGACCCTCCATTACTCTTGGGTAGATCTGTGGGTGTTTCTTTATAAATATATATATATAGTAGAGATGTGGGAACGAACAACGTGTTCTAAGTGTAATCCTACCCACCAGAACAGATGAACCCGTGGCCCAAAGGGAACCTAAGGGAATTCCATCCATTAGCTTTGAAACATTTGGGTATTGAAAATAATATCACATGGAAAATTGTCTCATTCTTAAGAACCAACCAATAGATTTCATTGTCATTTCATCCAGGGATGACCCTCCATTACTCTTGGGTAGATCTGTGGGTGTTTCTTTATAAATATATATATATATAGTAGAGATGTGGGAACGAACAACGTGTTCTAAGTGTAATCCTACCCACCAGAACAGATGAACCCGTGGCCCAAAGGGAACCTAAGGGAATTCCATCCATTAGCTTTGAAACATTTGGGTATTGAAAATAATATCACATGGAAAACTATCTTTTTCTTAAGAACCAACCAATGGATTTCATTGTCATTTCATCCAGGGCTGACCTTTATTACTCTTGGGTAGATCTGTGGGTGTTTCTTTATATATATATATAGTAGAAAGATGGGAACGAACAACGTGTTCTAAGTGTAATCCTGCCCACCAGAATAGATGAACCCGTGGCCCAAAGGGAACCTAAGGGAATTCCATCCATTAGCTTTGAAACATTTGGGTATTGAAAATAATATCACATGGAAAATTGCCTCATTCTTAAGGACTAACCAATAGATTTCATTGTCATTTCATCCAGGGATGACCCTCCTTACTCTTGGGTAGATCTGTGGGTGTTTCTTTATATATATATATAGTAGAGATGTGGGAACGAACAACGTGTTCTAAGTGTAACCCTGCCCACCAGAACAGATGAACCCGTGGCCCAAAGGGAACATAAGGGAATTCCATCCATTAGCTTTGAAACATTTGGGTATTGAAAATAATATCACATGAAAAATTGTCTCATTCTTAAGAACCAACCAATAGATTTCATTGTCATTTCATCCAGGGCTGACCTTTATTACTCTTGGGTAGATCTGTGGGTAATTCTTTACATATATATATATATATAGTAGAGAGATGGGAATGAACAACGTGTTCTAAGTGTAATCCTGCCCACCAGAACAGATGAACCCGTGGCCCAAAGGGAACCTAAGGGAATTCCATCCATTAGCTTTGAAACATTTGGGTATTGAAAATAATATCACATGGAAAATTGTCTCATTCTTAAGAACCAACCAATAGATTTCATTGTCATTTCATCCAGGGATGACCCTCCATTACTCTTGGGTAGATCTGTGGGTGTTTCTTTATATATATATATATATATATATATAGTAAAGAGATGGGAATGAACAACGTATTCTAAGTGTAATCCTGCCCACCAGAACAGATGAACCCGTGGCCCAAAGGGAACCTAAGGGAATTCCATCCATTAGCTTTGAAACATTTGGGTATTGAAAATAATATCACATGGAAAATTGCCTCATTCTTAAGGACTAACCAATAGATTTCATTGTCATTTCATCCAGGGATGACCCTCCTTACTCTTGGGTAGATCTGTGGGTGTTTCTTTATATATATATATAGTAGAGATGTGGGAACGAACAACGTGTTCTAAGTGTAATCCTGCCCACCAGAACAGATGAACCTGTGGCCCAAAGGGAACATAAGGGAACTCCATCCATTAGCTTTGAAACATTTGGGTGTTGAAAATAATATCACATGGAAAATTGTCTCATTCTTAAGAACCAACCAATAGATTTCATTGTCATTTCATCCAGGGATGACCCTCCATTACTCTTGGGTAGATCTGTGGGTGTTTCTTTATATATATATATATATAGTAGAAATGTGGGAAAGAACCACGTGTTCTAAGTGTAATCCTGCCCACCAGAACAGATGAACCCAGGAACTTTGTAGAAGGTTGGCCCTGCACTGAAAATTCCAGTTCCTCCAATCTTCGACGGAGGTGTGGAAATTCGGCCCACCCCACAGCCAATCGAGTATAACTCTTTGTAAGACTATGCAATACCTGGTGCCAACTGTCGTTGGGTGCCCCAGAGGCACCAAAACCACCAGGTATTGGCACCTCTGAGTGACCGTTCATCAGTTCCTAAGGCGATTGATTGACTTGGAAACACAGGAGGCACACACACACACACTCATATATATATATATAATATAAAAATATATGTATATATATATATACACATATATATATAACCGATTTAAAATGATGATTAAAACATAGCAGCTATATATATATTTATAATATTTATGGTTAAAGATGTCAATAGATACATATATATACAGCCGACAACCGGGATTTCTACCTGGTGAACAAATATATATATATATATGTATATATACGTTTAATGAGCTCCAGACGCAGAAAGATTCGGTAGATAGATAGATATATATATATATATATAAATATATATATATATATACATATACAAAATACTAAATCCTAACAAGTGTCGCAATTGTTTTCTTCTGACCACTTCTCTTGGATTTTGAGGAATGATTTGGACATGTGTGCAGCAGCCTGATCATAGAAACACAAGGCACGGTCTTGCATGGTTAGGTTCAATTGTCTTCGGCGGTGTCGCAACTCCTGCAACATCAACAGCAGGGGTCGTGATTGGGAAATGGTGTTCTAAGTGTGAATCCTGTATAGGGACAATTGTACATAATGTCTTCATGTACACTATATATATGTGTGTGTAAGTGCTAGGGACCTTTGGCGGGCTCACGATTATATATATATAAAGGAGTTGTTTACCAAGAGTGTCTCACTAAAAGTGTCTTACTAAGAGTGTCTTACAATATTGTTCAGTGTTTGTTGTTCGAACAATCCATTGGATGGGTGCATATTTAGAGAGAGAAAGAGATGACTGCGCAAAAACATGATGTTCTAAGTGTGGGTCACTGCAAGTGTTCCAGTGCAAACAAAATGATAAGGGGAGATCAGGTTCTGTCTGAGTACTTTTGATGTTCTAAGTGTATGTCCACAAGTATAATATACTTTCTTATTGGTATATATATATATGATATATAGCCCAGTGATTCCTCCCTGTCCCCCAAATCTCCTGCGACAAATGTGATAAATACCTCACCAGGGTATTCTCGTTCCACATGTGCGATTTCGACTGTTGTTGATCAATGACCAGCCATCGCCTGAGCTCTTCGTTGAGAGCATTGCGTTTCTCCTCTGGTAGCGATCCCTCCCGCAGAGTCACATGTAGTCGTCCGCAATAGCCATCAGCAAATGAAAGGGTGGTAACCGTTCTTGGCACCCTCCATTCATCTATCATTCCACAAGCTGCCTTCCCTCCCAGTACTGTCGGGGGTTTTGGGGCAAGAATTCTGGGTGGCTCTCTTGGGTTTGGCTCACTAAATGGTAGGTCCAAACATTGCTGCAAAGAATGGCGTATCTTTCTCATGTACATGGACCGAGTTAATGGGTCCTTTTGCACCCCAGCCATCTTCGAATCCTTCATATAGGATTTTTTCCGAGGTCTGAATCGCAATGACCAGACCTGGTCAAAGTTCATGACCAATTGGGGATGCACATGTTTTGATTCTATCAAGGCACGGATCTGTGATCTCACTGCTTCTAAAGCCGGAGAATCGTAGGCCAAGTGCGCTCCAGGCTTTTCGATGGACTTCAAACGAAGTCCATACATGTTGCAAATCCTGTGTGCCTGCTTCCTGAGCAGAAATGGGTTGGTGGTCATCACTTAGAACACATATGCCGGATCGTTCAATCTATATATATATATATAGGTATATGATCAAACAATGGCTAAGGATGGCTAAGGCTATTTTCTTGTGATGGGGCAATTATGTCCACATAAACTTATAAAACCATGGTGGGCCAAGAACTGATTATTTATCCCTGGTTTTATTGGTACACGCAAAGTCCAAAATATACAGTACTCATTGTGGTCCCTCGCATGTATATATATATACATACATTCCCCCTGCAGAACATGGAAATCCTGTTTTCCCGAATGTGTTCTAAGTGTATGTCCTGAACTGTATATAGCAAATATAGCAGATATGTGTATATATATATATATGTACCTCTTTTTGGTTATATCCAAATGCATTTGTATATATTAACAACTATATGGGAAACAGGCACCTGTTTTGTTGGTGGTTGGTTCCAAAACAACCAGAACAAAGTGATTGTCCCCAGACAAGGTTCGTCAGGGCATCATCGGACTTTGCCAATTGGATAGGCACCAAAATTTCATCAGCACGTTTGGTGAGAGAAGAAAAAAGCTCATCCAACTGTTTGTTGGACATTTTGGACAACTTTTCATCCTCATCTTTCAGCATGTCCAAGTTTTTGTTCCTAATCAGCTCACGAATGGAAAGCACGCAGTCATTCCAGACCGAAACCAAGAAAAGGATTGTGTTTTTGACAAATGCCACACCAACTTCTTCACCCTGGTCAATTCTTTCCATTACCAGCTCCTCCACGGCACCCTTCAAGACACCCGGCAACATTGTCCTCGTCTCTGAGTGTGCATGCATATTCCCATGCTTGAGTGTGGGAAAATTGATGACCAAGCGTAGGCTATTGGGCAGCTCCTTTTTGGCCTTGCAAAGCGCTGGAGCAGTCATGCAAAGTAAACCCCATTTTTGTTCCTGGCGGGCTTTTCCCCACTTGCTAGGTAGGGCGCATCCTCTGTAATAGCCATGCATGTTCAACTTTTTCAGGTCTTTGTCAGGATACTTTGAACCTTTCTCAACAATATCATCATAGGCTTTGCAAATAGCCTCACGTTGAAAAATGGAGACCATCGCGCTCTTTCCTGTTGCCTTTGTGTTTCCTGGTCCAGACCCATGTTTTTTCTTTGCTGGTGGAATCGACAACAGTGTCTGTTTCCCACGAACACGTTTTTTTGGAACTGGTAACTCTACCGACTTCTCCTTTTTCTTTGGGCTATCCTGTTTGCGTTTCCTGCCCCTGGCTGATGGGACTGGCTCAGTCACTTCTTGATCACCTTCAGTAGAAGCTACCACCTGGTGACCCCCACTATGCGGTCTTGACCCAGCTGCAGCTGCTGCTATTGGTGACACATCCGCGCCAGATGCTGAAGGGCTTGCGGCAGCAATATCTCCACGTTGGATGTGTAGAAAAGCACCTGAAGATGCCAAGGCAGCTAAGACAACAGCTTGGACCACCGTGCCCGTCATCCCATTGCCACATAGATCTTGTGCCCAGGAACTTGTAGCCATAGCCTTGAAAGCCTCTGGGTTTCTAGCATCATTTTCCCAGATTGCTTGTAGGCCTAGCATTTCCACTGGCTTGACATACCTCTTCAAAAAGGTTGAATAGATTGAATGAGATGGCGTGATGCACGTTGAGCAATCCACACATGCCTCCGGAATCTCCCTCCTCTGAAGAGACGAACTCATGTCGACAAACAGATTGTGGCTGCCGACTCCTTCCTTAGATACCATCAATATTTGTAACCCATATATATATAACCCAAATCAATGAGAAGGATCAATGTGTTCTAAGTGTATTCCCCTGCAAACATAGAGGTGAACCACTCACACCAATGGAATCCCATCACTTGGTTATATAATGGTGCATATATCTGTGTATATAAAATTATATAATATATATATATAACCCAAATCAATGAGAAGGATCAATGTGTTCTAAGTGTATTCCCCTGCAAGCATAGAGGTGAACCACTCACACCAATGGAATCCCATCACTTGGTTATATAATGGTGCATATATCTGTGTATATATATATATAAAAACTATATCTCTATATATATATATATAGCAAAAGATACAGGAAAATCTGGGAAGGAACCATGTGTTCTAAGTGTAACGTCCTGCACTGGTAACCATTCACAAAATGGAAATCATATGGTGCTAAGCAAAATAACCAAGTTTCCCCTTTGAATTTCTCCACTGCCTTCTCAAGAAGCTCCCGCTCCCGATCAGTCTTGGGATCCTCTTTAGGATATCGGCCAAATGTATCCCGCATAGAGAAGTGGCAGTGGGTTTGTAGAGATGAAATTGCACGTTTGTACAAAGTTTGGAATTCAGCCTCGCTTTGTTGCCCTGAATTTACTGCTGCCACTCCCCAAACCCGATTGCGTCGATGCCGCACTAGGAAGTCCTGTGAATCAAGCAGCGACCATACCTGAGTCACAGCGGAAGTGTTTTCAACACATATTTGTCATACAATGATACAAATATATATATATATATATCGGTATGTGTGTGTGTGCACGGCACTTAACATTATATAATTTATATCAAATATATATATATACAGATGCCTTTTTGTATATATATATATACCATGGTGGCTGCACCACGTGAGCAAACTCATACATGTATTTAGTGATGGTGACGATGACGACGACAATGATGATAATGATGATGACCCCGATGATGGTGGAAAACACATCATCAGTCCAGGTGCGAAATGGTAGCCATTTTCATTGGCATCCTTCTCAACAGTTTGAATGGCAGGTGGATGCTTCCTTCCATTTGCATCTGTGTTTCGCTCCATTGCGCCCTTCACATTCTCATAGATGGACATGATGGGGCACAAAAGCTCAACAACCTTGGATATGGTTACCCCACTGTTTGGTTCTGATGAGCGGAAAATGAACACTTTCTTCCAGTATCCCCATAGATAGGTGGCTATTGTCCTTGTATATTCCACACTTAGAACACTTGTACATACAAAGGGCAATGATATTATCTATATATTTATTGATCATGCATTTATATATATATACAATAACAGGTATACATGCATATATAAATAAAAATACATCAGTTGTCCTTATCTATTCCACACTTAGAACACATGTTTCATACAAACAACGCTATCTACTAAACATAACATATATATATATATATATATATATATGTCAAACATTTGGTAGCCTCAAAGGGGAACACTCCTTGAATACCGATTTGTTTTTTAAAAGCTAAAGGTGCACACATTTATATAAATGAAAAAGCAATACCACCTTGGTGGGTGGAGGCTCCCAAAATGAACCCATCTCCCGCTGGATATAGGTGCTAAGGCACTCCCTTCCAGCCGTGCTTGTAAGTGTGTGCAGATGTTCCGAAACCTTCTCCAGACTGGTAGCTACCTGCAAAGTCTTTGCGCTTCGCATTCAAAAGACCTCAGGCGGTTGCTGAGGATGGTTTGTACTTACAACACTGAGGAGGAAACAAGTACATATACATTAATATATAAATATAGATAGATAGATAGATAGATAGATAAATAGATAGATAGATAGATAGGTAGATAGATAGATAGATAGATAAGTAGATAGATAGACAGATAGATAGATAGAAAGATAGATAGATAGATAGATAGGTAGATAGGTAGATAGATAGATAGATAGATAGATATACATGATGTTTTTAATGTATGTCCAAGACTCTCTATATATATATATACCTTTATATATATGTATACATATGTATATACATATACATGCAGATCTACATACCTACAAACATACAAGGACGGATGCTTGAGAACTTATATATGAAGAGAGAGAGAGAGAGAATGAAAGAAACAAACAAAGAACGAACGAAAGAAAGAAAGAAAGAGAGAAACATAGTTTTTCATGCAAGGAACTAATGTCCTTGCAACTGGTTCCTGCCAGGAAAATGTCGACAGACATATTTCCTTCATTGATTTCGTGAACACAATTGCACCGGTAGCAGTGCCCTCTCTGGTTGCTGAATGCGATGACATCGCCATACACGTGATCAGCCTGATGACAATCCAAAATGTACTGACGTTTCTTCGGGTCAAGCTCTGCTGAGAAGACGTGTTTGACACCAATGTTGACCTGGAAAGCACCAGCAGGAAGACTGTCTTTCCCCTATATATTACCTCACTTAGAACACTTCACTCACCCAAGAAGAATGAACAAAATGGGATCCCCGATGTATAAATCAACAATTTTCGTTTTCCAAATAGTGTTCTAAGTGTAGGTGTAGGTCCCTAACTATATATATATACCATATGCTATGTATATTGTATATATATATATGGATTTTTTGGACATATAACATATATAATTGCGATCAAGAAACACCAAACTCAGCATTGATGGCTTCCATCAAACCATGAATGGCCACAATGCAAATGTCGCTCCCGGAACATGTGGTACCAATCCTTAAATCAGTTCCATCCAGTTCTAGAGCCACACGTTTGAGGTGCTGGTATTGAGAGATGCTCAGCAAACGCACGAACCAAGCTGATGTTGCATACAAGGACGGCATAGGAGTCTCCATTCCCGCAGAACCTTGCATGAGCTGTCTCTTGGGAACCTGAAAGTGCCTGTTCCGATACTTTGCCTGGAGAAACCGAATCGGCTTGGGTTCATCCCATGCCTGCACTGTGCTGATCTTCCATATGAAAACTTCTTTCTCATTCCTGACCTTATCAGACCAGAATTTGACCTCCATAGGGTTGTTCTCATAGTCTTTGACAGTGCGACTAGAGGTCACAGCTTCTACTTCGCGAACCGTCATCTTCCCAACATAGGAAGTGAAGCTGCCATCCCCACGGGAAAGCACATGAAGTTGTAGTGGGGCGGTCCGCAAGGAGTAGGTACGAAAAATTGTTGTACTTTGGCCAGCTACCAATTTTTCCCAGGTGCTCTCTAGCAGTATGATGCAATTCACTTTTTTGTCTAAGTTCTCTGGGCTAGATGTGGTAGTTGAAGCTGGTGACTTGTTGTGTTGGCTGTGTGGTCTCAACTTTGCCAGTTTCCACGGTCTTGGTGATTCACGGACGTCTGAATCCAGGCTGTGCTTTGCATATTGCTGCTGCTGCGGCTGCTGCTTCTGCTGCCGTGTTGTTGCTATCCTCTGAAATCTGCGTGTGAGATTTTGGTCCAACTGTGAATCTTTGTCATTCTTTCCTGCACATGTACTTTCTGCATCCAGTAGGTCCCCAAACAAGCACACATCTTCCACATGTGGTGTTGGTGATTCTGCCTTTCCTTGAAACAGAGCGCTGATTTCAGGCTCGGGTGGTGCTGACACAGCCTTCCATTCAGCATGTTGATTTCTGCTGCCCTGCCTTCTCGGTAGACATTTGCTGCTGCTGGTAAGCTTTGATGGCTGCGATGTCTCTGGGCTGGATAAAACTTCTTCTTTCACTTCAACCTTCACATGTTGTGACGGCTCTGGGCTGGAAAAAATCTCTTGTTTCACTTCAACTCCAGCATTCGCACCAGGGGGAATCACTTTGATTGAATATTCCGGCCACAGGCGCCTCTTGGCTCGAGCCTGGGTTGGATTTGGTGGCTGCTTCTGATCCTGTTGATTGTTGCTGATTTCTGCTGCTGGTCGTTTTCTTGCTGCTGCTGGCTGCTGTTGCTCTTGCTCTTGCTTCTTTGGCTCTTGTCGAGGAGATGTTGGGGCTGCTGTCTCTGTGTGATTCTTCTGTCGAGTTGGCTGAACTGGCTGCTGCTGGCTCTGGGGCTGTTCTAAGCGTGTGGTGCTGCAAGCTAGTTCTGGCTTGTCTGGATGCTTGTCATCTCCTGGATTGATGTTGCTTTTTGCTGTTTGTTCAACTGCTGGCTGCTGTTGATCTTGCTCTTGCTTCTTTGGCTCTTGTCGAGGAGATGTTGGGGCTGCTGTCTCTGTGTGTTTCTCCTGTGGAGTTGGCTGAACTGGCTGCTGCTGGCTCTGGGACTGTTCTAAGCGTGCGATGCTGCAAGCTAGTTCTGGCTTGTCTGGATGCTTGTCATCTCCTGGATTGATGTTGCCTTTTGTTGTTTGTTCAACTGCTGGCTGCTGTTGATCTTGCTCTTGCTTCTTTGGCTCTTGTCGAGGGGATGTTGGGGCTGCTGTCTCTGCGTGTTTCTCATGTGGAGTTGGCTGAACTGGCTGCTTCTGGCTCTGGGACTGTTCTAAGTGTGCGGTCCTGCAGGCTAGTTCTGGCTTGTCTTGATGCTTCTCATCTCCTGGATTGATGTTGCCTTTTGCTGTTTGTTCAACTGCTGTCTGCTGTTGATCTTGCTCTTGCTTCTTTGGCTCTTGTCGAGGAGATGTTGGGGCTGCTGTCTCTGCGTGTTTCTCCTGTGGAGTTGGCTGAACTGGCTGCTGCTGGCTCTGGGACTGTTCTAAGTGTGCGGTCCTGCAAGCAAGTTCTGGCTTGTCTGGATGCTTGTCATCTCCTGGATTGATGTTGCCTTTTGCTGTTTGTTCAACTGCTGGCTGCTGTTGATCTTGCTCTTGCTTCTTTGGCTCTTGTCGAGGAGATCTTGGGGCTGCTGTCTCTGCGTGTTTCTCATGTGGAGTTGGCTGAACTGGCTGCTGCTGGCTCTGGGACTGTTCTAAGTGTGCGGTGCTGCAAGCTAGTTCTGGCTTGTCTGGATGCTTGTCATCTCCTGGATTGATGTTGCTTTTTGTTGTTTGTTCAACTGCTGGCTGCTGTTGATCTTGCTCTTGCTTCTTTGGCTCTTGTCGAGGAGATGTTGGGGCTGCTGTCTCTGTGTGTTTCTCCTGTGGAGTTGGCTGAACTGGCTGATGCTGGCTCTGGGACTGTTCTAAGTGTGCGGTGCTGCAAGCTAGTTCTGGCTTGTCTGGATGCTTGTCATCTCCTGGATTGATGTTGCTTTTTGCTGTTTGTTCAACTGCTGGCTGCTGTTGATCTTGCTCTTGCTTCTTTGGCTCTTGTCGAGGAGATGTTGGGGCTGCTGTCTCTGCGTGTTTCTCCTGTGGAGTTGGCTGAACTGGCTGCTGCTGGCTCTGGGACTGTTCTAAGTGTGCGGTGCTGCAAGCTAGTTCTGGCTTGTCTGGATGCTTGTCATCTCCTGGATTGATGTTGCTTTTTGCTGTTTGTTCAACTGCTGGCTGCTGTTGATCTTGCTCTTGCTTCTTTGGCTCTTGTCGAGGAGATGTTGGGGCTGCTGTCTCTGCGTGTTTCTCCTGTGGAGTTGGCTGAACTGGCTGCTGCTGGCTCTGGGACTGTTCTAAGTGTGCGGTCCTGCAAGCAAGTTCTGGCTCTGCAGGCAGCTTGTGATTTTCATCGTGGTTGTTCTTTGGGCTGTGTCCTGCACTTGCTTGTTCGTCTGTGATGGCTGCTTGCACTGTTGTAGGATCGTCATTTGCCATAAAGGATAGAAGCTTTTGACTCTCTTCTGCAACCTTCATACCAACCTATGGCAGGCGGTTGGGTAGAACTAGGTGCATATATCCGATGCTTCATGGTATGTCTATATATATATATATATGAAACAAAAACTATATATATACACAAAACATTGAGTAGGGTGCTGGACCAGGAAACATATTCATCCAGCTGTAGGCCATCACCACCTTTGGAATGGCTTGGGATGAGCAAAGTGAAATGCCCGAAGTCATGGCTTCCTGCCACAGCCTTGTCAAATGAGAACAGCATGTGAACATTAGGCTCTCCGCATCCATAGATTGTGTCCAACTGTGTCCCATCATAGAGGCCAACCTGCGTGTGTGGAAGGGCATCAATAGGAACAATTTCAAGATCCAGAAAAATCTATATATATATATGATAAATATGTATGTTTATATATATATACATAATTATTTGACACATAATGGATCAGTATGGATCATACATATATATATATATATATATATATTATCTTAATTTGTTATTTATATATAAACATATACGTATGAACACAATGGAGCATGTTTATCTTATGGTGTTCTAAGTGATCCACCCCCCAAGGAATTTGGCAACTCCTAGCCTTGGGATCGCATGTGCAGCGAATTGCGATGGACAATGTGTAGGCTATCCATTCCAAATTGGCAGGTGAAAAGTTTGGATGTGCCAACACATCCCGGATAGCTCCATGATAAGACTCATTGCAAACAGTCAGGGCTTTCTCACACACATCTCTATGCAGAGTCTTGGCATTGTTCAATTCCTGTTGGTGTATCTGACGATTGATGGGGAAAGACCCTTCACTACGTGGTATCTTCTCCCACGCACTTGGATCCTGGGCTGCCAAGAGGCAGTACCAACCGCAAAGCCCATCCGCGGGCACCCGGACTTTTCTGTAGAAGACTTTTCGGGCCTGGAATTGGTGCTTCTTCTTTTCATTCATCTCCATGAGGCTTTTGATCAAAGCTGAGCATATCTTGGAAGTTGCATGCTGTATGTGTCCAACCCCAAGATCTTGGAGCCAGCAAATGCTGTACAACAATCGTTTCTTCACATCGTGAGGATTGCTTGTGTAGGACAAAGAAACCGGTACCGTTTTGTTCTCTTCCATGTTCAACTCCCAACATGATATTTCTCCAGTGTGTTTTTCATCAAAGTCCACCACAATCAGAATGGGGTTTTCAGAACATTCAAGACCTGCCAAAGCATGTTGACGATGCTCTTCATGTTTCCAGTGTGAGGAGGGCCCTGCCAAGAGAATACCACAACACTGCAGACCAATCGACTTGCAATGTCTCATGACTTGTTCATTTTCCAAAATGGCTGAAACACAACGGGCTGTGTCACTGATGAGGACCACGTTGGTGCAATGTAATTTGCCATTCCAGGCATGTTTGCCAAACAGAACTCCATACACAGACTGGTTTGAATATGCAATGTTTCGGTAGTTGGTCAATGACCCCTTGTGAATGCACACCGTGGACGAAGGCAAATCCACAGTAGATTCAATCTTGCTCCCCAAAAATTGTGCAGTCACATCCACAAATTCGCTTGGGGCTTTCAAGAGGGAAGATTCACAACCCAAATCTAGAGTTGGTTTGGAGGATGATGAACTGGCAGCTCCATGGTTTGAACTCATAAGTTCATCTACTGCCTTTTCCATCTCAACTTGTGGTTTTACCGTGGCTTTCACCTTTTTCAAACCAGCTTCAAGGATTCCATTGTTTTTTGACTCACACATTGAAAGAAGCCAGTCGTTGACATCCTTCAAAGTGTCGATTTTCTTGCTGATCACCTCCCCTGTACTTGTACTCACACTTGCTAAGTATGATTTGGGATCACCAGGGTGAAGCTCAACCTTTATATCCGAAGGCTTCAATGCCAAGGACATTGGTACCGCATTGAGGATATGTTGTTCAGCTTCTCGGCAATGACCCAAACAAAGGGCTGTAACCATACCATCTCTCTGTTGCTTCAAACTCCCCGTAGACTTGAACTTGTGACTGTCCATCCATATCTTTCGGGCCTGTGCCTAGCAAAGATTGTTGGTAGGTCCAACCCATATGATGGCAAATATATTATAAAATTTATGTACCATAATTTGGCTCCAATTTTGGGGGTGTATATACAATGACTGAGAAAATCCATTGCCACCATTCTTCCCATGTACAGTTTGTTTGTGACTGGGGGAATGCCACCACCATTCTTCCCGTGCATATATATATATATATTCACAATTTTAAATACATATATATATATATTGATATGCCCTATCTATTTGTCTCACCGGGCCTTCCCCTTCATGTTCTCAAAAGATTCTAGCATGGAGACACTCTTCTTCCGAAATGCAACCGCTGCTGCTTTTGCCCCATTCTCGGTCGGGAACTGGTTCTTCAGGAACTTTCGACTCAAATTGCCCTCCACATTTGCCAAATACCTCAGGAAGACTTTATGAATATATATATATATTGAAATCTTGAAAGTCTTTTCTAGAAATCAGGAGTGGAGGAAATAGTACCTTGCATTATATATCACTTAGAACACCTGGAATACCAATATATGCCCTAGCTTGCAGAACCTTTGCCAGCAAAAGTTCAGCTTGGATATTGTTTCATTCGATGTTTGACCAAGTACATTCAAATGCTAAACACTGTTCTGGTGGTGAATGATCTTGACTGCTTGAAGGTTTTTCTGTTGTAAGATTCTCTGAACCTAGAAGCCTGTGGAGGAGATAATACCTTGCATGGAACATCACTTAGAACACCTGGACAACCAAGATATGCCCTGGCCTGCGGAACCTTTGCCAACAAAG